CAGTATCATTCATGTATTTTTCCCACAAGAATTGTATAAAGCTGACCGTTTACCGATGAAAGCATATCTAATTCTTTTTCATGAATATTTTCATGACGAATTCTACTATGTTTATAATGTATTTGAATAGTAAATTCTTTATACGTTATTAATTAATAATTATAGAAAGCTTGAACCCTAGATACAGTCAGTATATATACAGGTTAGAAAATACGAATAGACCTGATAGAGATTCGATTGTCAAATAAATACTGAATTAATATATTAAACCAGTGGCTTATTTAAGGGAAGGCCTAGCCCCAACCCCCTAAATCTTTCAAAATTAAGGAAAAAAAATGAGAGAAAAAGAAGCTTGTACAAAAATTTAAGTCTAAGAGTGCCATTTCCGGTGCCATAATCATAACTGTTCTTACCTTCATGGTAGGGCTGAGATAGATAGACTGTCTGTCTGCGAAAGTCCTTTTCAATTCTCCCTCTATTTTAAATTCCTGAATTTGCCAGCTGTAAACTTTGATCTATGAATCTTTTCAGTAAGTTTAAATAAAAGGAAGGATAGCTTTTTTTTTTTTTTTTTTTTTTTTTTTTTTTTTTTTTTGTTTTACCCACTTTACCTTATTTTTCATGACCGGGTGAAATTAGGCAACTCTATAAGCGATTAAATTAGTCCTCTAATCCGTTGAAAGGCCGTAGCTTCCGGTGGGGCCTCAGACCTTAGCCAATGGGCCCGGGCATCAAAGATGCCTCAGGGTCTGCGGCCCTGCCTTTTGCAATAAGATACTACAACTCAAACATTTATGGTTACTTTTCTTGTTATATTTTTTATGTTTATATGTATTTTTGAATCTGTGAATAGTTGCACCCAAACAGAATTTCCATATTTTGGACAATAAAATAATCTTGAATCTTAATAATTTTATTATTTAAACACACTTTTTCCTATACCACATTTGTAAAAATAATGAAATGATTTATTTTTATTCAGTCAGAATTACATAAAAAAATTGGGTTAGCTCTTAAAATTGACGAGTTTCACTGTAGATTAATAATATTAAAGAGCAAGTTTTTGTTTTTGCAGTACTACAGTGCTTTTGGTGTGTGGTTTCATGGATACAGTAGATAAATTGCATTCCAGTGTAGCCAAAATGGCCAGGAACCAGATATACTATTGATAAAATAGCTGGCATAATTGCTAAAAACAACCTTTATAGTATAGTAACTGTTCAATTGGGATCATTTGACCTCTAACACATGCATGCCATGAAAAAAGCTTCCAAAATCACAATAGCAACTACCTGTACTAATGCTAAAGGTCATTCAATGTCAAATCAATCAGTTTGGTTGTAAATCTAGGTTGGTCACCATCAGTAGACACTTCAATCGCTAATCACTGTATCAGTGAACGAAATCCCGCACGCTGAGGTCACCATGCCATAAAAATGTAAAGTCAATTTTTGAACTATTATAATTTAAAAACTACTGAACGTAATTCATTATAATTTTGGATCCTGTATTTCACATATCTCATCTCTAAATATTGAAAACGGCATTCAAAAATATTGTATAGTTTTCCCGTTATCGTAAAATAAGTGACGCACATTCGTTTCATTCCAGTTCCCACTTCCCACTAACTCTGTGTGTTAGCATACAACACTCATTCGGCACCGTGAATTACGACCTTTGTAAACAACTTTCTCTGCATGACGTTTTGAAAAAGCAGAATCCGGACATTGTGATTGGTCCTAACGCTCCCATGTGATCGTTTCTGAGAGATCCGATCTTAAGCTTTGTTGTCATCTTTGTTCGGAGAAAATCCATTCATTTATTGATATTGTACAGTGAGTTTAAAAAGTTCAATAATTTTTTTTGAGGTCTAAACTCAAACGAATCGTTCGCGAACAAGGTATGTATGAAAATATATTATTATAACTACTACGTGACGTTATTGAATTTGAGAAATAATTAATAACGAACGGTGGCTAGAGATATTAAAATGTGTCTTTCAATTGTGTGTGGCGGTCGGTGCTAGGCCCTTCGCCACAGAGCGTAGACTTGGTGCAGTGTAATTAGACACCGCCTGAACATTGTAATTTCATCGGGTTATGAATCTTGTTACGATTCTCGTCCGATCGTGTTTTCAGGCCTAGGTTAGGTTGCGTTCTATTGCTAATTATATATGGTATGTGCACCACTGCGGTGTAATTCTTATTTTAGGATTGTAATGTTTATTTAATAACTTTACTTAAGTTAATGTTAATGTTTTAGGTCTATCATTTTTGATGTTTTCTAAAGCGGTTCACGCTAGGGATAGGCTTAGGCCTATGCCTTTCTATAAAGAATATATACTATCAATTAAAATATTAAATAGGGCCAATGCCTGTTATATGGCTAGTAACTAATTATTATATACTGCACATATATATTTTCTACTAATAGGCCTACTAGGCTAGGCCTCTACCATATATATTTTTATAAAGTATGTTAGTGTTTGTATTACTATAATTCAATTAATTAATTGTGTATGCATAGGCCTAGCTTATTAATTATATGTATGTACTGTACATGTGAATATTTTTCTTGTTCTTGTTGAAGTTTGACTTTCTTGTAGAAGTGTTTATTACAGTTGAAAAAAATAATTTTTTTTTTCAAAAAAGTACAAAATATAACTAATAATAATAATGGCAAACATAAACAAATCAAATATATTAAATATTTTTATTCGATTTCATTTTTAATAGTAAGAACTGTTGTTATATCTCTCTTTAAAGGTTGTCGTATAATGGAGTCCGCTGCTGATAATGTATCCGACGAAGCATCAGTTAACTTAGTTGTAGGCCCTAGTTTGAACAAGCAAGTACTTCTGCCAGTTCTGCAAGTCCAGCTTCTGATGCAGTTCAGCTCGAAAGTCCTGAAGAAGTATTTCCTTTGTTGATAGACTTAAAACACAATGATTTGATAATTGTAGATAAAATATAAAGTACAAATCTTGTACCATACTATTTTGGGTAACATCCAAATTAGGTCATTAGTGATGTCAATATTACTGTATTAGTAATGTATGCACATTCAGTATAAAGGACAAAGTCTTCATAAACTTTCAATTGTATGAGTATTCTGGAATTTTATCATGACAGTACAATTCAAATTTCTTCATTGCAATCAGATATTATTAACAATTCAAATACAATATTCAAAATTCAAAAAGGTCGTTCAGTCAAATTCATATTCAAAATTTAAAAAAAAAAAGTATTCTGGTGCCGAGTCACATGACCAGTAATTAGATTTGAGAAAAAAACATTTATTTTTGCTAATATGCAAATTTGATCGTTAATATGTTAATTAATTTGTTTTCAGAATAATGTTCATGTGTAACCCATGCATTCAAAGTTCCAAGTACATACTGTACAAAGTATTTTGTTCAGTTACAGCTCCAAAAATAATTGTAAAAAATAGTAAAATACTAGTATTGAATATTTTTTCCTTAATTAATATGCAAATTAGGACATTAGTGGTGTATGCAAAAATTCAGTATAAATATCAGTGAATGTCTTTATAAACTTAAGATTGTATTTGCAAGTATTTTAGTCTGAAGTTTATCATGACAAGTAATTTGATTTAGGGAAGATTCTTATTTTTGCTAATATGCAAATTTGATCATTATTATGTTAATTAATTTTTGTTTTCAGATTAATTGAACATTCAAGTATATACAAAGTTATTTTGTCCAGTAATAGCTGCAAATATGTCATAGAAAACGTTTAAAATGCAGATATTCAACATTTTTCTTATAATTAATATGCAAGTTAGGTAGTTAAAATATACAATATGCAAATTTGTTATATACATTGATAGCTGATTATGTTCATGGTATATCCTGAAAATTTGAAGAGTGTACAATAAATACTTTTGAAGTTAGAAGTTAAAATGTGTTGAAACCTGTGATTTTTATGATGCAATCACTAAAACAAAGAAAATAAAAGGCTTGACCTTTGACATTTGTTCTCTTAACTAGTACAAGTTGGACATAGAAAAACAGCGATATCTCTGGAACGAAAAGTGCGATTTAAGTTTTTTAAACGGTTTTGTGTTTCTGAGAGAGTGCTTTATCATCCTGATATATTCAGATGTAGCCATATCACATCAAATATAATAGCCTAAAGTGCATCAGGGTTTTGATTAGCAGTAGACACAGCCATCATGCATTTGGAGTCCATTGAAGGCATTTTTACTGTAGGGGAAAATATTTAAATGTTTTTTTTTTAAAAGGAAAGGGGGTCGGGAGGTTCTCCCCGGGAAAATTTTGATTCCTAGAAGCGGGAAATGAGCTTTCCTGACTTCTGAGGTGTCTTTAATTACTTCTAATTTCTTCAAAAATTAAGGTTTTCCCCCTCTTGAAAATGATTCAATAGAACCAATGAACCCCAAAGAAAAAAGGGGTCCGGTTTCCCCCGGGAAAATTTCGATTTCTAGAATGCGGGAAATGACCTCCCTGACTTCTGAAATGTCTCTTAAATGACTTTTTAAGTTCTTCAAATTTCAAGGTTTTCCCCTCTTGAAAATGGTCAGGTAAATTTTTCTCATTTATTATTTTATGTGTGTATACATAGGCCTACATAAATAAATGAGTAGTTGCATGCATATTCTTTTTTCCCAAAAAGAAAGGGTGATCCGGGGGTTCTCCCCCAGGAAAATTTTATTTCGTAGATAGCACGAATGAGCTTTCCCGACATTTGTGACACAAGTGTGTTTTAATGGCTTTTATGTTCTTCAAAATTCTAATTTTCTGATTGTAACATCAGCTCACGGGTCTTGAAAAGGTAGGTCTAGAATTTTTTTCTGGTCACACAAAAATCTCCAGACATTATTTTTTGCAAAAAAAGTGGGGGGGGGGCCTGGACCCCCAGTCCCCCCGGTTCCGCCGGCCATGCATTGAGGCATGTTATAATTATTTTGTTGACTCAAGATCGATGGTAATATACTTATAATTTCCTTCCTTTTTGCAGTTAGCATTTAATCTTCCAACATCAAAAGACATCATCAACCGACAAAATGTCAGCACCAACAGGACGTGCCAGAGGGAGAGCTAGGGGTCGTGGAAGAGCAACAGCAAGTACCCCAGCACCAACCCCTGGTGAGCAAGCAGCTAGACCGCCTCCAGCTCAGGCGGAAGCCCCAGTAGCACCTGGACGAGGACGTACCAGAGGGGCTGCAACTCAACCGATGGTTGCAGGTATTCTAAGCTCTAATTTTATATTCATTTGGTGTTGTTTCATTTCATTTATTTATATTTGCCTCAAACAAGGTCATGGGACTTCTAAAAAAGCCAATGCTAAAGAAATTTGACTTAACAAAAATGTTATTGTCCCTTAATTTGTAGCGGCTTTAGCCAGACCTCCAGCACAACCGGAGCCAGTTGAGCCCCCAATTCAGCAGATGGCAGCCATGAGGGTAGGACCAGAAGGTGCCGGAGGCTTACAAGGAAGGCAGGCTAGAAGACCCAGATATGAGGCTCTGCGAACCAGACCTGAGCACATTATTGACAAGCAAGGTATGTCCTCTGTAGCAGCCACACTAGCCAGCTAGTGTGTTCAATAAACTCTTTAAGACTGACACCAAACACAGCATTGGTCATACCAGTACAGTTGTTCCAGTTGTACACCTTATTCCTAGTGTATTATTCATGACTAATACCACAGGAATGTTCTACCCCTATTCTGTTTACAATATTCCCTGACATGTAACTTGAGTTCTAGCATTCAGCTAAGTAACACCTCATCAGCAATATTCTGGATCTTTTGAACATATGTTTAGTTTTGGATTAATTCTGCTATAAAATAAAATACTTCACCCTACATTCGTCTTACGATAGAGTACTACAGTGTTACGTCACGATACCATGTGATACTACTTCGTTGCTTTTGTTGCAAAAAGCATTCAACCGGATGCCATTTTCTCCACTGACAAACCATTGATCCCAATTTCTAACGTAATTATTAAGATGTTGTAATTTACCTATTTTTATAAATTTTAATTGAATAAATGTGTGTTTGATAACTAATATAATGCAAGCTTTTGTGTTCTTACTTAGTACATTTTGGTGGTAAAATATTAGATTTTAAAATGCCTATTCCAGAAAGCCTATGAACTCATTCAGGTGTAATTAACGGTAAGCAACGTCTGTTGACAACAAAGAGCGCCACCTGGCGTCGTGACGACACGACTGTGGTACTCTATGTGATTATATACATACTAGCGGAATAACACCCAAACACTAAACTGGTGCCCTCTTTAGTGACAAGGTTTTTTTTAATTCTATTAAATTTGATTAAGGTTTAAAAAAACAACTGATTATTGAATATATAAGACTGTATGTTGTGTGTGTCATAGTACTACTTATAAATATAGTTGGCTGGTTGATACTGGGAAAAATTGCTTTATATGCTCTTACATGGCTGTTCAAATGCGTTTCCGTATGTTATTAGGAATAGTAAAATGTACATCCCGCAAAATCTGTAACATTTTAAGTTTATTTAAAAAAGCTCCAAGTGCAAACAGCCACTGAATCAAAATGTCAAGATAAAATATACAAAAGATGCAAATACATTAATTTTTATAGAAAATAATAAGCGATTTAAAATAAATTAATTACCAGTGATATTCAATAAATAACTATCCATGGAAGAGTACAGTCCTTCAAGGTATACAACAATCATTGCCAACACTACAGAGAGGGTCATTTATGATACTTTTGTGAATACACATACACTCCAGTTATTCATTGTCTATCTTTTTTTGTTAAGGTAAAACTGGTTCAGTGTGCAACCTGCTTTCCAACAACTTCAGGCTGAGGACAGCCAGAGAAGAGTGGGCTCTCTACCAGTACCATGTGGATTTCAATCCACCACTCGATAGCAAGCGACTACGAATTGCGCTTGTGAAATCACAAAAGGACATCATTGGAGCTACAAATGCCTTTGATGGTATGGTTCTGTACTTGCCTATCAAGCTGGAAAGGCCCGTAAGTATTTAATTTACATGTATTCTAATTTTTGATTTAGGTTTTATAGGAGTTATATTTTTAGAATGTCAATGTTGATAATGACATTGGGGTGGTAGAGATGATGATGGTGGTGTATTTATGGTCAGAAATGGTTTGTTGGCCAAGCACACACACATTGACAAGTTTGAAATTGTGGTTTGACGGTTTGTATTTTGTTTTTATAGGAAACTCAAGTAATGGTGCAAACCCAAAAAGGAGAGAATGTCCAGATCACATTCAAACTGACCAATGAGCTACCGCCTTATTCCAACACGTGCATGCACATGTACAATGTGATTTTTAGAAAGTAAGTATATTCTATTTAAGAAATTTTTGCAGCCAATTCATATTCTTGACAGTAATTTGACCTCTGAAAGGTCATTGTTTGTAAAAAAACGAGTGCCTAAGACGACTGAAAAGCGGTACACATCTAGATGTGTATAAGAGACAGATGCTTCTTTCGTTCTGCCGGGTAAAATCAATTACTTTAGGCGACGTTTGTAGACTAACCTACTCGTACCAACATCCGCATGTCGCGCTAGCCTTATCCTACTCTAGGCCTAGACTAGCTAGGATGGTATAGGCCTAGCCTTGAAGGGACAAAGGTCCCAATGAAAAACAACGTCGCTCTTTGATAGCTAACACAATAATTCATTATTAAACCTATATTTGTTTTTTGAATTGTACTCCACAAATCTCAGCCGATACCTTGCACAACTAGCTAACGTCTCTCTCTATTTTCGTGACGTCATGGCTCGCTGGCTCACACTTGTCTTGTGATATGTCTCGCACTTGTGATCAAATAACATGCTGGTTCGCACTTTGGCAACACTCCTTGGCAGTCAACTCGCCCCTAGCAAACCCGCCCTTGGAAACGTGCCCCTAGACTTGCCACAAGTCTCTTATTTTTTATTATTTTTCTCATTCTGGACAGCGCCACCAACGAGAAAGTTAATTTAGAGCTTTGATTTAGAGATAGACGAAATAATTCGAAAAAAAAGAAATCGAGTATGGTACGCCAATTAAATTAGGTATGGCGCGTGTGCAATAAAGAGTGAGTAACCTAAAATTAGGGCCTGGAACCCAGGCTAACTTGCCCCATAAAAAAATGTACACTTCCTAGACCATGCAGTCTTCAAAATAAAAATTGTAGCCTTTGGTAATCAACTACATTTTCCACATACATTGAAATTTTTGAAACTTTATTTAAAAAAACCTAAACCATAATTCACCACACTATAGACACTTTTTGACAAAAATGAACAATTACGACTTTGTTACCCAATGAGAAGTGTTCTAATATAGACAATGGGTCTTGTCTCATATTATTTGTTATAGTTTTATTATTCATTATTTTCACTTGACTCACATAAATAATTTTGTTCAAAGAACATTTATATGCAGTTGTACTTCGCAGCACTTCACTTGCAATTTGCAATTTTTTAGTTATTTATTTATATAAGTAGTATTTTTACATTTAGTAATTTTATACATATTTAATTGTTGTATTTTCACAATTTGGCTTAAGCTGTAAATTTAAGCATTTGAGTTTTTAAGTTTTATTTTTAATTTTAGGGTGATGTCTTCTCTGAACATGCAGCAAATTGGCCGTCATTACTTCAATCCGGATAGCAAGATTATGGTGAAGCAACATAGGTATGTTTGTGGCAGTACCTTTCTGTTTTTCAAAAGTGTATGCAATTGGCTTTTCCTTAGCATTTTGTTCAATGGTTTTAATATGATTTTTGTACTTTGGGTACGTTTGATATGCCTAAACGTGGTCATCATGACTAAATATGGGCATGCAAAAGTTTTTTGACAAAGGAAATTTGATAGTCTAGACAAAGTTTAATACTATTTCCCTTGAAAGCAAGTACATAGAATGTGCCTGTTATCACTCATAATATTAGGAATATACATACTTTATTTTTTATCTGTAAAAATTATGAATGTCTACTCCATCCTCCATTATTTGCACATAAATTCTGCTCCATTCGATTATCGTATAGTTGCATGACCGAATGAATTTCAGTATCTGAAAAAATCGACTACCAAGACAGTGAAAATTTTTTTTACCTGAATTGATTGTCAAATAATAGAGTACTTTCTTTCTGCATTTTTTTAAAAACAACTATTAATACTTATTTATTAGAAATAAATGCTATATTAGGAAAACTTACCTATCATGCACATTCCCACTAAAATCATGAGGCTTGCTATCCCAAAACCTGCATACTGTTGCTAAATGTAATTAGCAAAAGAGTGTGTCAGTATTGTATACTTTAGTACATAGGAGCTCTTAATACTTTCTCATAACTTTAGCAATATTAAGTCGATTACAGTAAATGACACTTCATTTTGAAGCTTATAATGTGGAGAATAAGAATATATTAATATATTCTGTTGCTGGTTTTGGGGTGGCAAGCCTCATGTGATGATGATGGGTTATAATTACTATTTTTTTGATAAGGCTTGAGATCTGGCCTGGGTTCATAACCTCAATCTCACAGCGTGAATCTGTTGTGATGCTGGAAGCTGAGGTTTCACACAAAGTACTTTGCCTGAACTCGGTACTTGATGTGCTGTATGAGTTGTACAACAAAGATTCAAGGCGCTTTAGGGATGAAGCAATGAAGAAATTGGTTGGCGAAATTGTCTTAACTCGGTAAATCTTTGCTTAGATGCATTTTGTATATGAAAACAGAATTAAATAGAATATGAAAATTATTGAACATTGCCAGATTACATTCTATATATTTTATAAACATAATTTATAGGAAAAAGAAGCATGATATTAAAGTCTAAGAACATAGTATCTTCTCGTTGTTTTTACATTTTAGTAATTAATGATAGTAGATCCAGATTTTGTGCGATAAAAGTAGTGTTTATTAAATTGATGAAAGTACAGTTGATAAATTTATGCTATTCCATTGTATTTTGGCAACTGGAGTTAAATTATATTACAAAGTATATAATAGTATAAAAACTCTATTAATTATATTTTGTTTATTTGAAGGTATAATAACAAGACTTATCGAGTTGACGATATCAATTTTGATTTAAACCCGTCAAGCAAATTTAAAAAGTTTGATGGATCAGAGATTTCATACTGCGAATATTATTCGAGTGTTTATGAAAGGAACATTACAGATATGCAACAGCCATTACTTGTCAGCCGACCAAAGAAGAGGGTATGTCGCAAGCTACCTATAGCAGGGTTCGAATTTCCCCACAGCACCGACAGCAATTGCTGTAGAAAGGGCATTCCACTGCTGTTGTAAATCCCAGGCTTGACAGCAAGCTTTTAGCTGTTGAGTCACCTGACCCAGGCCTAGGAATGGATTATACACTTACATTTAAGCTATAGAATAGGCCTATTCTTAAAACAATTTAAGAAGCTTGTTGCTGTAGAAGAAGAATAACTTGCTGTAGTAAAGCCACAGCCCACAGCAATTATTTGCTCATGGTTCATTTTGAAGAAATTTAAACCCTGTATAAATTTTGTAACAATATCAAAATATATGTTTTTTATTGCTTTTGTAAAAGGAAATGCGGGCTGGAAAAGCTGGCCCAGAAGTACTTCATTTGATACCCGAATTTTGCACAATGACAGGACTGAGTGAAGAAGTGCGAAGCAACTTCAGTGTAATGAAAGACTTGGCTCAGCATACACGTGTTGACCCAAAAAATCGTGCCACAACACTTAACCGGTTTATGACGGATATAAGCAAGTAAATCATCTTAATCATTTATTCCAATTGCAATTTAATTTTTATCACTTTTTTAGCCATTGAGTCCTAATAATATTTGCTTTATAAACTTGTAGTTAATAGTTGTTCAGTATCTAAGAGTATTGTTTTTTATGGCAAAAACTCATTTAGACCTTTGGAATCAAACCAAAGAACTTAAATAGCAGAAGAATAAGCTGCTCCGCGTATTTGCATTAAAATTGATGGAACAACCGCCCTCCTGAGGATGAGGTAAAATTTGAACATTTTACTAAGTGGAGAAACTACAGGAAGCAAACAAACCAGAATAGCGCCTTTATTATTGCTATATAGCGCCGCCGCTCGGTTGAGGTAAAATTGCTCTCCGTGTACCCACAATGCCATTTGAACGGATGTTCCACTATATTGGGAAGCTGTTCTATCTTCTGCTATTTATTATCTTTGATCAAACCTTGAAAGAAAAGATGATTTGTCAGTCAGTTCTGCAGTGAAATGGTACTAGTTAACATTTGATACAATTTCTGATTGGTGCAAATGAGCAGAAAACTCAGCAGATTTTTTGTAGTATTGAGCAAAATTTATATCAACCATGATATATTAGACCTTAAACCAATTCTGATTTGATGTTATTGTATGTGTGGATTGGATTATGACAATGATATCCAATGAGAATTAGGAATTATTTTAAGACTTTTTTAAAGACTAAAGCCGGCACTCTCTGTGTACCACAAATCTGACTAAACTCACTGTGAGCACTAGACGACACGACGCCGTTTGCTGATTGTCGATGGCAGTCTAAACAGATTATCATTAAAAGCAATCTGTTGCGTGCGCGCCCTCACGTTGCGTTCTTCATGGAGTTGCGTAGGCCGCAGAGTACTCGGCTTTAGATTTGATCAAACTGTGTACTCCATATTTTGTTATAAATGGAGAGTTCAGACTAGTGTATGCTTACATGAATTCAGTTAGCTCATTGTAGGTACTGAGAAGTGGTCTTTATTTGTCTAAGCAGAAATGAATTCTACATTTTTGCACTGTCACTCTGTACAGCAGAATGTTTATCCACACTGTAAGTGTTAAGTGACAAAAACATTTGATATGGGCCTATATTAAATGTGATACAACATCAAGGCAATATATGGCCAAATTATAGGTATTTGTCATGAAAGTTTTTGTGTATACAGAGGTTTATTTATGTCTTAACAGCAATCCTGAAGCTCGTGGACATCTTGAGAAATGGGGCCTGTCTTTGGACAACAACATGCTGAATCTTCAGGGCCGCTGTTTAGGATCTGAGCAACTCTATCAAAAGAACTTCAGGGTAGGTACAGTTCAAGAACTTAAAAAATGTGCTTATAATAGTTATAACATTTCAGGATCACATGTCATACAAGTGCCCTATATAGATTCTCCAACACAATAGACTCATCTACTCCTTGAGATGCTTCAAGTGCTTTTTGTAATTTAATTACATTGGTTACTATATATAGTTCAAACCTCCTCTCTGTGACTGAATACTGAATTTTTTTTTTTGACTGAGCCTGACCTTTAGGTCACTGCTCATCCATAATGTGATTTTTTTTTAAATTCTGTGACCTTGACCTTTTCACCCCAATATTTGATGTCTGCCTGCCTTAGAGTAGCATGTACCACACCCACTCCAATTTTTTGGTTCATTCATTAGTTTTTATAATCCTGCAAACAGACAGAAAACTTAATTTCTTGACAATTCTACTAACAAGTGTATTACAAAAAAATAAAACCATCAAGAATATTGGGGTCAGTTAGTCACAACACAAACTTCTTTGCATATTTAATTTGTATTGCTTCCATTGCATAAACATTGAATTATGTTATATACCAACATTGATTATGGACATTCATCATCTATAGTTCTCGTACGAAAACCGCTCAGCAGATTGGACCAGAGAGACAAGAGGCAAACCTGTTCAATCCACGGTCAACCTTACCAATTGGATGGTGGTGTTTTCTCCACGTGACAAAGCTAACGCACAGGATTTCATTCAGACCTTGATACGTGTTTGTGGACCAATTGGTATGCAAGTTGCACAACCCATTTTCATTGCCCTGCAAAATGACAGAACAGATAGTTATATCCAGGCTATCAAAGAGAAGATGACGCAACAAATACAGATGGTTTGTACAATTTGTGTTTAAATGATACAGTTTTCAATATACCGTATTACCAAAGTACATGGAAAGGCAAGTGGTCGAATTTGGGGTTTTGTTGGAGTACAGTCAAAAAGTACTACCATGGCTAGAGAGCGTCCTTCAAAAGAACGTACCTATTCAAATTCTAATAAGCTTCCACTATCTCATGGTAATACCTTTTTTTAACGTTTCATTGCGTGCATACAAAATCGAGGCAGTCGGACCTCTGGCAATTCCGTACTCTTTATCATTACTAATATGAAGTTCAAATTATCCTTAATATCAGATTGTCCTTAATTTACCAAAAATGTTTTTTTATGTATGTACTACAGTAAGACACTGTCATTATGAATATTACTACTGTTAATTCTGTGTGTTTGGCTTTCAGTTGCCAAGTACCATTTGCTATTGCATAAGTATTTAAATGTATATACACACACACACCCATGCATGCATGTATTCATATACTGTAAAACCTCGAATATAAACCCAGTGGGCTTAATCTTTGAGAATAAGCCGATCTTGAACTGAAGCCTCTCCTTTAGTTCGCAAAACTAGCCTTGAAAAGGAGCCCATCTCAAAACGGAAGCCCATGGGCTTCTTATCGAGAGTATAGTATATATACACTGTACATGGATTTCAAAAATAACATGCTTGGTTTATACAGCAGTTTAGACGCACTTTATGATACAGTGGTCCCTATTGTTTTATAGTAGTAATTCCAAAAATTTACAACGTTCATTTTAAAAAGTAGCTCCCCTCTCAAAAAAGAAGCCCATCTCAAAAAGAAGGGACATCTCAAGCCCATAAGAAGCCCATAAAAAGTTTGCCAAAAAAAATCCCCCCAGGGCTTCTATTCAAGGTTCTACGGTATACATACATAAATATATCATGTTTGTTGTGATAATGATTATAACTGCTGTATTTATACACCGACAGGTTTTGTGTATCGTACCAAATAACAGGAAAGATCGATATGATGCTATCAAGAAGCTTTGCTGCTTAGAGTTTCCGGTGCCCAGTCAAGTGGTTGTTGGCCGAACGATTTCCAAGAAGCAAATGTTGATGTCTGTATCAACCAAAATTGGAATGCAGTTAAACTGCAAACTTGGAGGAGAGCTCTGGTGCACAGATATCCCTGTATGTATTTATCAACCTCAAAGTGCTTTAATAAATCATTCAACTTTTAAGAAGTTACTTTTTTTTTGTTGGGTTAGATAAATATACAGTATTCATTCTTCAACACTTGTTCTTCATTACTTCTGTGATCGGGAAAACATTCATCACTCATGTCACACTTTACAGCATTTTGTATGGGTCAGGTCAAGGTTGAATGTCTGGTACCTCAATTTTCCGTTCGCGTGTCTTAACGTGCGCGTACCCGTGCAGCGGTTTTAAAAACACTTGACAAGGTTAAATTTTGTGTGCCATTACCATCCTCGGCAACGTCGGGAGGTGTGCATACTTGTGCGTTAAAATTTGAAAATTGTTATTATCACTTTCAGATAATTTAAAGCACGTTTTAGGTAATTTTCAGCATTCCAAAACTTTCCATAATTTACGCGCCATACGTTCATTTCCACGCACACAGCACGTACTGAAGCTGGAAATATGTTTTGTTACATATTTTGGGTTTCTAAAACTGTATTCATATCGGGAGTCAAAATTCTGTGACATTACTATGCGCACATATGTCATGACTAAATTAGTGTATACTTTAGGCCATTTTCAGCATTCAAAAAATTGTTCAATCCGCACCGCGCACACTTCCTCGATGGTAAAAGTGCGGCGGACCACCTAACTCGTCCTCAGTTACAAGTTCAAATCTATTTATGGCTTAGTGTGGTCCTAAATATGCTTTTAGTCCACAATATTAGGAATTGGCAGTCAAAATAACGTTATTTGGATAGGCAAATTTTTTTTTTTTTTTCTTTTTTATCCATCGACGTAGTCGTGCGTCGGATGACGGGGGAGGGGGGGCCAGGCCTGTCCGATGGAGGTATAAGTGCCCTGCTGGCGCCACTATTAGTCAGGATAATTCCATAATGTTAGTATGGGAAAATTCGTTTTGCAAAAATTTGCAACATATTAAATTGAAAATAATTAAATGTTTTTTTTATTTAAACCATGACATTTTCACAAGCTTGGTAGCTACAATAGCTACATGCTATCACTGAAAGCTCTCGGTGATGCTGATTGGTAGATCGAATGGTTGAACCTTTCCGATTGCGTCAGGGATTGGTACGCAGTACAATGACGACACTGACAACACTGTAGCGGTATTGTAGTGATTGTGTGGAAACTAAGCTTTTGTCATAAAACGGAATTGCTCATAATAAATTTTTGCTGCGAAGCAGCCAATTCATATTCTTGACAGCAATTTGACATCCTAAAGGTCATTGTTTGTCAAAAAACAAGGGCCTAAGACGACTGAAAAGCGGAGTTTCCTTCTTTCGTTCTGTCGGGTAAAATCAATTACTTTAGGCAACATTTGTAGACTAACCTACACGTACCAACGTCCGCATGTCGCAATGCTTGAGTATTAATATTCAGCGTTTTTACTATATTTCTATGTTTCCTATTTCTACGTTTAGTCGGCCCATATCTCAGCCACAATATTTTGAGGCCAATATTATTTACCAACCCAGTTAAACTTATTTACTAGCCTATTTCAGCGTGCTAATTATTACATTTAGGCGACGCTTGTTGTAGATTGGCATACACGGTACCAATGCTCATTTTTACTATGTTTCTACGTTGCAATGTTAATCTGTTTATTGTTTTCATATTATTCACATCCACAAATTAAATGCTCACCTATATTATTATCATCATTCTCATTATTATTATTATTGTTATAATTATTTATTTATTACCATTTTTAAAGAGGGTGACCTATCCAGTTCCTGCAGGAATTGATCATTAAGTTAAATTGCATGTTCAAATTGTAATCCTATTTTTTAAGTATTTTGTACTAAAACAGGCAGAATTTCATCATCCATGTACCTTTGTTTTTATATTAAATTTGGCATTTATATTAGTATATTACAATCAGAAAACTATAATTTGTACTGTACCATCATTTTATTTTAATAAACACCACAGGACATTTACTGTTCAAAATGTTTTTTATGGGAGGGGATAGATTTAAAAAAAAACGGATGTGACATTTTCAACTTTATACACCCCTTACTGTAATAATAGTCTTCAATGTATATGGTAATAAAGTTTGATTATTACTGTACTCCATTTTTGAAAATGTATCACAAATTGTTGACCCATCTAAATAGACTTTTATGTATTTTAAATATGTTACGCTTCTGTTTTTAAATATTTTGCTAATTTGATTTCTAGACCACAACATTGTATGTGGAAGAGGTAAGGTGTAAACTCGGATTCGTCTCGACAGCGCTAGGAGTAGTCTAGGCTAGCCTAATCCTACTCTAGGCCTAGACTAGCTAGGATGGTATAGGCCTAGCCTTAAAGGGATGAAGGTCCCAATGAAAAACAACGTCGCTCCATGATAGCTAACATTGTCTATTTAACATCACAATAATTCATTATTAGACCTATATAGTTGTTTTTTGAATTGTACTCCACAAATCTCAGCTGATACCTTGCACAACTTGTTAACGTCTCGTATCTATTGTCGTGACGTCATGGCTCGCTGGCTCACACTTGTGATGTCTCGCACTTGTGATCAAATAACACGCTGGCTCGCACTTTGGCAACACTCTTTGACAGTCAACTCGCCCCTAGAAAACCCGCCCTTGGAAACTTGCCCCATAAAAAAATGTACGCTTCCTAGACCATGCAGTCTTCAAAATAAAAATTGTAACCTTTGGTAATCAACTACATTTTCCACATACATAGAAATATTTGAAACTTTATTAAAAAAAAACCTAAACCATAATTCACCACTATAGACACTT